GTGAGTAAAAAGTCTTCCCACTAAAAAAAAATTGTCATGTAATTATACAATATTTTTTATTAAAAATTATTTTTACTTAATATTTTTCAATCCACATAATATATGTTTTTCAATCTCATTCAAAATTAATACTAAAATTGTGTGTAATTATATATCAAATAGATTTATACCTACATATATTATATTTATAGTAATATTTTCCATATATCATTATATAAACATTTCTTGAAGTATCCATCGAATAAAAATGGATATATTGAACCATATATAAGTTGTGAAAGTTCATAATTAATACTTCACAGATTTGAATTGAATATAATTGTGAAATTCACTTTTATGATTAATTTATGAGTTAATGATAGATATCTCATCAATATTTTATATCCCTTGACTATTAAAATATAAATGATTGTTAAATTTAATTTAAAGAAATATACATGTGAGATAACTTTGATAAATCTTTTAAAATTCTTAAAAAATTGAATCATATTAAAGTAAAAAGTTGCTAAAGAATGATGAAAGATAATACTTAATACTCTTTTCAAAACAAAGAATAATTATTTCCTTTAAATTTTCAAAATAGTATATGACATCCTTTGCGCATAAAAGAGTAGTAAATCAGTTAACTCCTCAAGGATATATGGGAAAAAAAACACAAGGAAAATGCTTCTTGAAATAATGGCTCATGTATGGCAATGGCAATAGGACAAAAAGGGGAAGAAAGGAAAGGTAAAGCAATGAATGTCAAGAAAGATTACGATGATTATTGATTTATTTATAAGCATCATATTATGAATGAATATGTATAATTAGATGTTATAAATGTTTTTTATATATTAAATATGAATAAAGATTTTATGTGAGGATGTGTTTAGAAGATTTTTTTATATATGAAAATTTTAAGATTTTTTTAAATTTTGTATCTAATTTAATTTTTATTTATTATAATTATTTATAAATTAGATTTTAATTTTTTAAAGATAAATTATTAAATAAATAAAAATTATCTTATATTGCAATACAAATTATTATCATAAATCTAAAATATAAATTTTATATTTATAAATATTTATTTACATAAATTTTAGATATAATTTACATATTCATATATTTTTTTTTACATATAATTTATTATAAATTGTAATTATGTGTAATAAACATTTACTTTATGCATTATATAAATTAAAATACTAGTTGATATGTATGATGATATGTTATATCCTTTAAAATATATGTGAATTTACTCTCTATTTTTAAAAAATAATAATTTTTAATTACGAAAAACTAAATCTATATGTTTTTAAAGTTCATGGTATATATCAAATTTATTAATACGAAAACGAAATGATCTTGATCACATTTAATTGAAAGAACAACAACTACAAGCATATCTTTCCTTTAAAAAAAAAAAAAAGAGTTAAGGTAATTATAAGAGTTGGAATGTAAAAACATTATAAGTATATTATAAAAACAACTCCATAATATAATTTCAAGTATTGTCATTTAAATTTATTTATCACAAACTTTATATCATAAAATTAATCATCGGAAGATTTGTATCCTTTTCAATTAGTTTGTTTAATTATTTTAAAATCAAAATAGTTTTAAAATTCAGGATGTGGGATTAAAAAAATTACACTAATAATTATTAAATGGTTAAATTGTGTTTTTGATTCCTCAAATATTGCAATTGTACAATTTTGATCCTCAAAGTTTTAATTGGGTAATTTTAGTTCCTAAAAGATTGTAATTGTGTAATTTTAGTCTTTTAATTTTTAATTAAACAATTTTAGTCCTTCAAATGTCATAATTGTACGATTTTAGTTTTTTCCATTAAAAACTTAATAATTTTAATATATATATATATATACAATGTTTTAAAATTATACAATTATTCGTCTATTCAAATTAACGTATATTATAATTTTTGTTAATATATCAAATGATATATATTTATTATTACTAAATAAATAAAATTTATATATTATTAGTATTTTAATATTATTGATAAATTAATATTAATAATACTTTTAGTATATTTATAGATAAACTAATAATTTGATAAATATGACTTAGTATATATTAATATTTTTACAAAAATATAAATATATAAGAAAAGATATGTATATATCTAATTAATATATACTTATATTTTTGTAAAAGTATATTAATATATAATAAATTATATTTATCAAATTATTAATTATCTATAAATATACTAATAATATTATTGATATTAATTTATCAGTAATATTATAAAAAAAATATATAAATTTTATTTATTTATTCAAAATAAATATATATGATTTGATACATTCAAGAAAATTATAATATGTGTTAACTTGATTAGATAAATAATTGTATAATTTTAAAATATTGTATATATATATATTTAAATTTTTAAATTTTTAATAGAAGAGACTAAAATCGTATAATTATGACATTTTAGAGACTAAAATTATTTAGTTAAAAATTGAAGGACCAAAATCATACGGATATAATCCTTTAGGGACTAAAATTACTTAATTAAAATTTTAAAAATTAAAATTATACAATTTCAATACTTGAAATATAAAAATTACATTAATGATTATTAAATTTGAAATGAATTTTACGAGATGAGATCCCCTGTGTTGGAAAATGAGTTGAAGTTGAAGGGGATGAGAACTGGCATGCATCAATCATCATGTATGATTCATGATATCAGACATTGACTGGTCCACTTAAGACAACAATCTAAGTCAAAGTCAATAATGTCTTCCGCCTTAAAGAAGGGAACATTGTACAAAAGAAAAATAAAAGTATTATCTTATGAAAAAAAATTATTATCATTTTCTTTAAGATGTACTTTATTTTTTTTATTTTGCTCAGCTTTGAAGAGAAAAAATTAAAAGTAAATATAAAATATCAAATTAATTTATTAACTTTATTTTAATAATCAATATTTAAAAAGATTCATAAAATAAGTTAAATTATAAGAAATATACTGTTCATAAAAACAATTATTTTCCTTTTCTTCCATATTTTAAAAATGTGAAATACGTTGGCCTCACGAAAAAGTTATCCATATAATCAACTGGTCTAGTACTTCCTCAATTTTCTTTTACCTGTCTTTTCGAACTCTAGCCTAAAAAAATGCATTTGTTTTTCTTTTTAATTTTCCTTTTAAACATTTCAACATCATTAATAACCAAAATACTTTAAAAAAAATCTAAATGGAAATTTCGATAAATTACATGTTTAAACTTCCATATATCTTTAAAATATATAAATTTTTTATTCAAGTTCAAACATTTTCTTCATTCTTAACTAATATACCTTTCTCTTTCTCCAAATGTTTGCTAATTAAAAATGTTTAAAAAGTTAGACAACACAAAAGTGATCATGCTTCTTGAATCTTTATTTTATTTTGCTTTACAAATTTATTAACTCTAAATTAATTAAATCCTACAAAAATTATTATGCGTAGTATATATGATGAAAGGATTTTTTTGTACTTTTATTTTTTCTATTATAATCAATATACAATTTTAATTTATTTTCTTAAAGAATATAATTTTATTTCTTATTCATCATAAACTCATAAGTTGAAATTAATTAGAAAATATTTTTTTTGTTATATATATATATATATTTTGTAAAACTCATATGAGCAAACTAATAAATAAAAAAAAAACAATTATAAATTCTAAAAATTGAAAAAATAAATTTAAATGAAAAATTATATAAAAGAATTTAAATTACTTGTCTATAATATATTAATATATAAAAAAACACTTTTTTGGTTTTTTATTTGAAATATATATATATATATATATATATATATATTTATTTTATATTTTTTTTATCATTAATGTATCTCTTAAAGACGAAAAAAAAATGCGAATCTTAGCATAAGTTAAAGGAAAAATTTTGAACAAAATGTGAAATGTTAGTTTTGTGTTATTTATCATGGAGTGAAATTCATCTAAATTTATAGTAAATGATGATAATATAGTGATAAAATTATATATTAAAAAATATTTAAATTATTTCACAATAAAATATATAAACAATCTCTTAGTAACACAAGAGAGTAAAAGATCTCTACTAATATAGTATGAACAAATCTTCTTCTCAATTTTTTTTGACCTTGTGGGACTCTTTTACGATTTCTTTTTTATATAAATGGGACTATTTTAAAATATATTATGTATTTTGGATAATTTAATACAATATCACTGTAGTTCATAGCGACACCTATAACAAATGATAAATATTTTTTTAGTCATTAAGTCTAAGTTATTACCGTTTATAACAACCTAAAATGAGTTATTGTAGCTTATAATGACACAAGTTAGCTTGACTAAGGGTCATTTTAGTCTATAACAACCTAGTTATGTTTTTTTGGCATTTCTATGTCACTGTGGACCACAATGATACTATTATTTATTTATTTTTAGTTTGTGTGTTACTATGAGTCACAATTGCACTAAAAAAATTTTGCATGTCATTATGGATTACAACTACACTAATTATTTTTTGTGTCGCTATGAGTTATAGCTACACTTTTTTTATATAAAAAAAATTTAGAACGTATTTTTTAAAAAATAAATTTGGTAGTCATGGGCCATAACAACCCTTGCAATATATATAGATAACCAAAACATTGCATTTTTGTTACATTTGAAATCAATCATTAGATCTCACATTTTTATTAAATATTTTGGATTTGTGTTAATTTTGATGAGTAAAATTTTATTGTACTTTAAATATAAAGAGTAGTTCTTTGTAGTAATTATTTTCTTTTTTGCAGATAATTTGGACAAATTCTAACTTATATTTATATTTGATGGATCAAAAAAAGGATGTTCGATAGTTTGATTTAAATATATTTAAGGCCATGTGACACATTTTGATTGGCATAATGCGCTATGAAAAAAAAGAGGTTAAACCAATGTTGTTATGGGTTACAATGACCTCCAAAAAAAATTTGATTGTCAAGGTCACGTGGTGCATTCTCATTGGCAGAATGCATGGTAAGAATCAATGTGGCCCAATGTAACTCCCAAAAAAAAATTAATGGGAGGCATTGTAGCCCTTAGTGATTCCCCTACGTGTAAAAAAAGGGGGGCTATAGCCCGTAGCGTGTAACGACCCGACTGGTCACTACGCCCGGCATAGCACACGCTACATAAGTTAGAAAGTTGAAAAAATAGGTGATGTAGGTGTATAAATATTGACTGAATGAGAACGTCACCTGTAGCTGACCTGAGCTCCTGAATTTGGGGAGTATATCCATCAAACGGGGACAATCCAAACATCATATAGCATTTTGGATATAGTACTCTTCCCTCTGGAATCTCCATACAACACCATGGAATTTCGTTGTTAAAAATGTTTTGTATACAGCTGATGCAATCCAAATTAGGCTGGTCTGGTGTGCATTGAACAAGAGTATGGAGAGTTTGGTGATCATTCAGTTTTACTTGTTTTTTTCCATAATTCTTAATGGTACTGCTACTGCCGTCTGTGTCATACTGCAGTGGATATAAAGTGTTGGCCAAAGTCCAAGTGAAGAAGCTTTGCAGCTGGTTAGGGTTGGAAGTATAGTTGACGATATTCAAGTGCTTATATGCAGGACTTGTATCTAGTGCGGAGAGAGATGGGCGATCGGAATAATGAAGCAAACAGTGATTGTACCAAATGATAGCCTCTTTGGAGGAGGGGCACTGCGAGGATATTGTTTGGGTTGCATTTAGGACACATTGGTGACAGAGAGTAGGGGAAAAGTCCCCAAAGCACATGAAGAAACCAGTGAGAGTGTGGACTTTGGTCTCGAAGAAACCGTTTTTGGTGGTAGTGGAGTTGGAAGACAAGTAAGAGAGGAGGGCTATGAGACTCGATTGAAAAGTGGGGTCGGTGATGATGATGGTGGAACAATTTTTGGAAAGATAAGTAGAATGTTGTGAGTCTGTGTTGGAAGGATTTGTGAGCGGAACGAGTTGTGTTGGTGCCGCAGCGGTACTGGGGCGATAGAATGGGTACCAATAGCAGCTCATCTTACAGCTGATAAAATGAAACCGCGGTAAACCTTGGCAGTTCTCTTGAGCAACATTTAGACATTTTTTGCAATCTTGGGGTGACAGGTCTGGTGTGCACTGAGCCTCACAGTAAAGGGTCTTAAATCCATATACCCTTGCTTGCTTTGTGGCGTACTTCTTGACACCAATAGGAGAAATCGCTGCCTTATCTGCCGCTTCTTTCATCGTTTTGGAAACTAAACTCGTCAAGTTTTCCTCATTAAAAGGGCTGCACATAGAACCTCCGAATGGAGTTAAGTCAACGGTGGAGAAGAAAGAACGGTTGGAAAAGCGGATCATGCAGTCATCGTACTTAAGATATGCCTCTGTGGACAAGGAACAATTGTCATGAGAATATGAGAGTGAGAGCATTTCTTGGGTTGCGTTAGCGACGCATTGGGTACAACGGTGAGGAGGGACGTCACCGAAGCAGAAGAACATTCCATAGGCTGTGTGGGAGTGGTTTGCAGTGGCGACTGTGGTGTTGTAGTATGGATTGTTATTAGCGGTGGCGTGGGAGGATAAGTCAGAGAGAAGGCTCCTCACGTTCGACTGGAACGGGCTGTTTGGTGTGGTGAGTCTCATAGCCCTCCTCTCTTACTTGTCTTCCAACTCCACTACCACCAAAAACGGTTTCTTCGAGACCAAAGTCCACACTCTCACTGGTTTCTTCATGTGCTTTGGGGACTTTTCCCCTACTCTCTGTCACCAATGTGTCCTAAATGCAACCCAAACAATATCCTCGCAGTGCCCCTCCTCCAAAGAGGCTATCATTTGGTACAATCACTGTTTGCTTCATTATTCCGATCGCCCATCTCTCTCCGCACTAGATACAAGTCCTGCATATAAGCACTTGAATATCGTCAACTATACTTCCAACCCTAACCAGCTGCAAAGCTTCTTCACTTCATACGGGTCTTACATAGCGACCCCCACTAAAAGTAAGGAAAAAAAAATTAACAAGAATGTTGTACCTCATAACGATATATGTTGGCTCTAATTGAAGTTGCTATAGCCCACAATGACTTGTTAGATAAAAAAAAATGTTATGTGTCATAAGTGTCACTATAGCCTAGAATGACACTATTTAAAACAACTCCAAAAGCGTAATAAGTTTTAAAATAATCTTATTTTCATAAAAAATTTAAAAGAGTCTCATATGGGTCAAAAAACCCTTATTCTCAAATGAGTCACCTTCACTTAAAATATTATCATTCAATGTTTTGCTTTATTGACCTGACTTTCAATATAAGATGTTTATAATTTAGAGTTTAGGATTTGTTCATAATATATCATGAACCTTCTCAAATGAGTCACCTTCACATAAAATACTATCTTTCAACATTTATTTTACTAGTTTGATTTTCAATATATAGAGGTTGATTAATTAATTACACCATGACTTTTTCATTATTAAAACTAGTCATAAACTATGAATGAATCACACATAACTATTGAAAAGACATTATACTATAAATATATGATAAATTTTAGTCGATGTTAAATTGCTAAATTTTGTAAATCTAACTTATTTTTATATAAAGAATTAACTTCTATAAGTAGATAAGAAAATATATTTATTTATATAACATAGTATTAGTACAAAATATAGGATAAGATAAAGTGGTTATAGCATTATTACTAATATCCACAAAGAGTGAAAATGTTGTTACAATGTAAGTTGCTACAAAGAACATAATGCAAATTCATTTAATTAAAAAATAATTCCCTTCAAATTCTTAGAATAAAGGAGGAAACCCTGAGTGAATAATTGTGATAAAAGAGTAGTTAGCGGTCAATAGTAGGTTAAGTTTTTACTCATAGAATATCTTGACAATAAAACTTTCTTTATTGATCGGAACAACAACAAACTCTTTTAATACTCTATTATTAATTAAAATTTATTAAAAAATTGTATTTTTTATTATTAAATTAAAAGAGACTCATGCAATACACATCAAAATTAATAATTTATGAAAGTCACGCTAGCATTACTATTACCGACATTTGTTTAACAAGATTGTTGGTGTTCTTAAATGTATGTAGAAAAATGTTATATTCTCCCAATGCACGTTCTGAATGATCCTCCGACTAATTAAAAAGTCTTTTTTTAATTAAAATTTATATTTTATAATTAAAAAATTAGACATGTCAATCATAATTAAGAAAGTGTTTTCGGTCAGAATTTCGGAGGAGATATCATTGCTGATAGTTGTAAGTAGTTGGGAAGATTAAGTAATTCATTACCGACACATTTAGCAATGGAGATTGACATTTGGTTGGGGTTATTAAGTACATGATATAAATTGCAATGATTATTGGGAAGAAAGACACATTTGATGATGGAAGAGACAAGAAAGCATGAGCATTGGAACTTTTAGAGGGAGTAACATGTTACTGGTTTTCATGTAATTGGTTTATTGTCGGCTGAATATAATTAGTACAAGTTTGCACATGAGAGGAGTGTACGGACGCAGGGGCATCGCGTGACCTAAATAAAACCACTACAGGTCGGTGTACAGCGTACGACCCACCTCCACGACACTATCACACCCACGTCACCTATTCCTTTATCATTAGGAAGAAAAGAGAGTACATTTTGGTTTTAAGTTTTGATTAAGTTTGACTTTTTATAACTTACTAATTGTATATTCAATTTAAAGCTGTTTTTAGTTCCTAATTTATCCTTGATTTATTCATTATCTTATTTTTCCTTTACTTTATGTTTGCTTAAGATGATATAAAAAGCAATTTGAAGACACATTTGATAATTGAAAAAAATTTAGCACGTTAGTAGTAATATTGTAAATTTTTATTAATTATTATATTTTATCAATAATTACATATTTTATTTTGAGGTGTTTGTTAAGAAATTCTGAAAGTAAAGAAATTTCTAAAAATAAATTAGGTGTTTTAAATGATTTTTTTAAGTAAAAATTCAATTTGATCCTAAGAAAATAAATATATAAAATTTAATTTGAGACTTACGCTTCATAAACTCATTTTTTTTAAAGGACTTAGAGAGAGAGAAAGCTTAAGAGATACGCTTTGGAACCCAAGATAGCCTTTCTTCCTTTTGATTTCACGGTGAACCTTTCATTCCTTCCTTGGAGATGTTGATCAACTAAGTTATGATCTGAAGTTGTTGAATCTGAGGATTAGTATTGTTGTACAGTCTCAAAGTTGCTATGTGTTTGAGTTCCACTTCTTCTTCTTCTTTGGTTCTCTTTGGACTCAAGGTAAGAGAAGCTAAAACTTAAACATTGAATTGAGTTGCTTATGAAATGTGTTGAATTGTATCTATGTTGTGGGTTGTGGCAGTGATTTGAAGATTAAATTTTTGCATGGGGAGATTATCTTAAACTCAGTCAGGTTCTTATTCTCCTACGATCCCACTGGTCTTGCTAATTCCAGCTCTATATGCCTCCACTTGAGCAAAGTGGACATTCTATTGTTGCATAGCCATGATCATTACCCATATGGCACATGCTATCTGATTATTTTGGGATCTAACCATCTTCTACAAAGATCAATAAATATGTTAACACTCATTAAACAACAACAACCACGACACAACTTCTACAACTTAAGAACTATACAATAAAAGCACACCATGTCCACCCCTCCATAGAGAGTCTTTGAAAGACTCGACTGACTTTAATACCACAAAAGTGTAGCGACTCAACAAGTTACTACACTTAGTTAATTACTATAGTTCAACTACTATGCAACGGAAAGACTAAACATCATATGATTAACCTAGGGTTATCATGCAACAACTATATAGATAATCATATAATCTATATATGTACAGGATAGAAAATATAAAAACAACTTGAGATATAAATCCTTCCAATGAGCTATACACATACTATGTACACATATATAATCTACATCAATACATAAGTGTATGCAAAATAAAATCTACTTACGGGCCAAGTGTTTATACAATAATTATTACACAGAGTAACAATATCAAAACCAGGCCACCATCAACTAATCAAGTTGTCCCGGTAATCTTATCTTGTTCTCAAACAAAGTATGATTATTGCATTCCCAATCACAAAGAAAACATAAGGTAATTAAGGTTGTGAAAGAATTAAACATGTACATCATTAAGTATCAACATAAGCAACAACAGTCATTTAAACAACACAACTTCAACTTATCATCCAATTCACCACATACAACATAAAACAACTTAACAATTTCATCTCAACATGTTCATCACAACAAAAATAAACAATAAATGTGTCATCACACTTATCAACTAAGGAAATCTTATATAACATAGGTGAACAATTAAAGTTGTTAGATCCTACTAAACCACAAGTTTGACCTATCATAATCAGGTTGGGTATAGTCAAGTTCAGCCTTCTTAGAGAACTTGTTTGACAATTTATTTTAATTTCTTAGGTTTCATCACTTAATATAAGAAGTTTAACATTCTATTAAGGTAAAACAATTCAGGTATGAGTCTACTACGACATTAGTTTGCAATACTAAGCCATCTATGAGATTAGTACACCAACTACTCTCAAAATATTATGCTCTTCTAATACTTGGTTAGGGACTAAGTCCTCGATTTTGTATTTTACTCGATTGGTTACTTTATACATGTATGTCTTGACCTTACCTACAAGTGGATACCGCATAAAATCTATAAGAAATAACTTAAAATAAAATAATGATTCAAAAGTCAACTTACTTATTAAAGGATTTTCAAACAAGCTCGCAGAACATCACAACTTATATCCACACAATGAGATATTTTAATTTTTACATTTTTCACTCTCTTCTAATTTTTATGTTTATGCATCATATGCCTACAACATAACAATTTACTCAACTATAGCATCGTACAACTTATACAACTTATCTTCAATTATCTTACAATTTAACAACATACACATCAGTATATCACATATCTACTTAAAACATAATGAACTATCATCATATCATCTTCATCATATAATTTAAATCATGAAACTTGCATTCGGTGTCAACCTATAAAGATCGTAAATTAAGTTTTATCTCTTTGAATAAATTATTTACATGTAAAAAATAATTGAATCTTTAATAACATACTTAAGAAAGTTAATTATTATCGATTGTGTTGGACCTTTTTAGTATTTACAACACAAGTCACTTTTCTTTCTTTTATATTATCTTTCTTACTTCTTTGGATCTAAACAACTCAAAATTTTATCAATTTTTTTTTTAATTATCCTTTCCCTCCTGTACTTCTTTCCATCCATTTCACTTTTTTCTTTTCTCCTTAAAATCCTTTATCTTGGAAATGAATCGTGAATCATAAATTCTAAGATTTTGTTATTAACATAACTAAAAAATAAAATTATAAAATTGGGCAAGAGTGTAAAAAGAAAAAAGGGTGTTCCAGCAGGAAATTAAAGTGTTGGCAAATATATTCCGATGGTAGATGTTGACAAGAATGATCAAGTAGCCGAAAGATGGAAGATGGGATTGGTTTAGATTGTGTTTCAGAGTTACATATTTGGTGGTCCCCCAAAGAGGTACGTC